ATTGGCATAATAGTATTTTTCGTATGCTGGTGGCCCAGAACGGTTTTCTCGGACAACCAAAATTGTGATACTTAATTTCGTCATTCTGAACTGTATTTCGGTTTTCCAAAAAAACACAATCATTATGGATTTGATTAAATTAGTTTTAACCTACAGCCAAAGAGTGTTCAATACCTATTTTGTTCCATGGCTGTAATTCGCGGATGTCCAGAGTTTAGCACCTTAAAGATGCATTATGTAAGAGCAAAATCAGCCTATTACAGGTCTTTTTACTGGCTTCAAATCTTATATAAATTATTATTTAGACATTTATTCACATGACAAAAACTTATAATCAACTCCCCTAGAGTATCGGATGGCCGAGATTTAAATGGATTTGAACACCCGCGAGATTTAAAAATTTAACGATAAACTCGGTAATCGCGATTTAGCCTCGGTTGTCAAGTACCGTTACTACGATAATAAACTATCAACGCTATGCCTACAAACAGTCATAACTTCTCCCAAAATAAAGTAATTTAAATGGAATTTTTAATATTCATTTTCAATTATCTAGTTTTGAACTATTTACAGCTCTTCATCTAAATCTTACATAATGCATCTTTAATATTGGAGACTATGTCGGAAAGGAAATGAAATGGGGTTAAACGTCCTACTGCTCTGCTCCAAACTAGGCTAATCAAGCCGGGCATACGCCATACAGTGTGTTATGGAGGAAATTTTCCTTTACTTCCCGCTTCCAAAAAAAAGACGACATCCCGAAAGCGAATTATTGAAATATATACAAAGTGTTCGGCCAGACATGGATCTAGTGTTGAGTGGGCGTTAAATCGATTTCTCTACACCTTAAATGATTTGAATACATTGAATATTCAAATAAATAACCCATCATCGATACCACCAAAGTATTTATCATTATGTCATAAGTGTTTCAATAATTATATTGCCGTTTGTATGCCCATATCGTTATAATGACGTATCATATAAAACACCTAATAACCCTGACAGTTCAATACTAACAATACAGATATTTATTATTTAGTCTAAGAATTCCAGGTATGTCTGAAAATAAAAGCATATTCTAAATATTTCAACTGGCTCGATGGAATGTTACGAAAACATCTGGCGACTTTCATAATCGAGACTAAAAAGTACATAACAAACCAGGTTTGTTGTTCATTTATTGAAGTTATGGCTAAACTAAACCGTAAAAAAATGTTCTATATACTCGAGGTTAAAAATCGATTGGGCGAAATTATGGACTAGACCGTAAAATAAGGTCTATATATGTGACAGTCAATATCTACAATCAGGCAATGTGTACAATGCCTGAAATATACCAGTCAATGTGTACATTGCCGGGTTAGGGTTAGGGTTAGGTTTAGGGCTAGGGTTAGTGGTTGGGGTGGGGGGTAGCGTTAGGGTTACAAAGGCATTGTACACATTGCCTGATTGTAGACATTGACTGTAACATATATACATAATACTAGAAGCCAAACTTTTTATATTATGAATTTTCGGATTTAAAATATCTTTCCCGTGGTTATCATCCCGGTGTAGGCCGAGAAAGTTCATCGGAGTGATTTTCCCCTGTTAGTGGTGTAAGTAAACGCGACATGTCGTTTGGATGGTGCGAAAACCAAGGTCCCGTGAACACCTTGGCGTGCACGTAAAAGAACCCTTGACCGTTGGAATTCAATTGCTGTTCGGTCAAAAATGTACCCCTAACAGAATGCATGGCGTATGTCTGTCTTCAACAGCTCGGTTCGTCTTCATTACCCTAGTCGGTGCAGAAAAGTAGGACGCTAAACCCCGATTTCATTTCGTAAGATGTTAAAACCCGTTTCATTCATTCCCGTGTTTATATGCAGTAATAAACGTCAAGTTCTGTTTAACATTGCAATTTATAGTTGATGTATCGGCAACAAGGTTGGATTTGAGAGAGAGAGAGAGGGAGGGAGAGATGGGGGGGGGGGTAACGTCCACTCGACACAAACTAGGTCATTTCAGAACTAACACATGGTTCGATTTTATTTCAAAAATTCGCTTGCGCGTAGGGGTCTTTATCAGTGGGAGAAAATCCGCGAGGTTAGACAGGCGACTCTACTCCTTGCCACGTACAACCGGGGAATCGAAACCACGCCAGTTGACTCAATGACAGAGACCTTGACAGATTCACTACCAGCGTCAACAATATAAATGAGTATATAATTGTAATTAGGTATATTGATTATATACCTAATTATATATTAGATATACATCTTGAGTTAGTAGGATGGCTTCACTTAAGAATAATAATCATTTCATTTAACTTATATTATAGACAATCTTATCATTATTTGGGATCTTCTAAGGAAATCATTGGAGTGTAATAATGATTTGGGTTGGGGACAAATTATACTCGTCTACATCAACAACCTATCATCTAGGTAGCAAAACCTGGTTAACCTTTCGAAATCAGATGATGTCGCAACAATTCCGGAAGAAATAAGAGGGCGAAAACAAACTACACTTGATTGATGCTGTGCACTTCTCTCAACTGTATTTTTAGATATATTAGTTTATATACACGAATTAAAAGCGTCTGAAGCGGTATCTTGGAATCAGGATAAGTTCTGCGAGTCAGTTATAAGTTACTGTACCAACTGCATAAATATGTCGTAATAAATAACATGCCATTATGACATATATCCCAATAATTAATTACGTTAATGGGCCTATAAATAGCCTTCGTAAACACAGTGGTTTTATGCAAGCTCTTAAAAAACAAGTCGTTCATTGGCATTCATTGGCATTCATTTAGCGTTTCTCCATTGTAATCATGCGAATAATACACATACATAGCAGACATAGTTCTATGAATAACACAATGAATATTAGTCGAATTAAGGTTCATAAATAACTATTTCTTGTGAACAAGATTATTCAGTTTTGTTCTATAAGCAATACGCCTATTATACTTCGTCTGGATATATACGACCAGGCATTATACCAATAAAAATACAAATCATGGTCAACACGATTCTATTGCGTCCCAGTCAGTAATGATTCATTACCTGACTTCCTATATTTATTTTGTCAGACAAGGGTGCTTAGTTAGACTAGGGTGTGTGGTCTTGGAACTTTTAGTCACCAAAGAATTAAGGGGATGTTTAACCCACACATAAACGTAGAGGTGGTATAATGTTGAAAATGAAATTATAGTTGTATTATGTACACCCATATCAAATGTAATGGCTATGTGGCGTAGACAGACAGTTAAAGGGACTATCCCGATTTGAACAGAGTCTAAAAAAATAAAAGTCTGAGTACGTTTGAAATTTAAGCGCCAAAATATAGAGGAATGGTGTATTTACCTTGTCTTAAAATCTCAGCTCAAAATATTGAATCGTTTGGACGTGAAGACCGACGGGTTTAAATTGTTTGAAAACGTATCACATATATTGAGTTAGTTGCTCGGCTCTAAGGTAGGGAATTTTAAAGGATTTTAACACAAAATTGGGCAATTTTATTCTCCAAAATATTATCGGGATTGGCCCTTTAAATATCTCCCTAACATTATAGTTATTTGAGATTAACCATTACGTGAGCAATTCACTGGAAATAATTTCGTTCGAACGTCCTTTCCTCCTATTCTTTTAGAATTTCGGCTGCCATGGGTTCGTTTACGAGCATACCAATAATTATGTACACAGGCGAGTCCCTAGTCTCAGGTTTATGGCACCATTCGAACGACTAGGCAAATCAAATGTTCCCCAAACAGAGGTTTTCGCATGTGCCGCGGTGCCTTTTCATAAAAAAAAGTACCCGCAATCCAATATTTTACTATTTATCGAACTTTACATGCGCTTAGTAAGTAGGATTTCATTTGTGAACCACGCCCCCCGTACTGTTCATACATAAACTTGACATACTTTCAGGAACATGTTTCCTTATCACTGATAAACTTATAAGTACAGGAACCACTACTCAGAGCCAACTTAATGTATTATAAACTAGTTGTAGACTGAGTTTTAAATCGAGATTTATGTATCTAACGGAGGCTCGTTATCATAGATTATAAACCTGTAACGATAAATCTCTTTGATCTTTGGGGTATATTCTATGCCCGGAATAACTTGCGGTCTGAAAGGCGGGGGCGGCTTTGGATATATACAGGGAAATTTGGGGTTATTCTTCTGAAAGTTTTTCTATAAACCTGTACCGGGTTATTCTTCCAGGGTAGGTTTTTTTTCCATAAGAAAACATGATATTATAAGGTTTTTCTTACGGGAATTCTGGGATATCCTCATCTTGCGTACATGTAAACATAGACGGTTTATAAGCAAGATAAAGTCCTCGACTTCGGTTAGGGTGGGGAAGAAAGCCTTCTATTGCGGAGAAGGACATGATCAGGCTTCATTAGTAATAAAAGATGCGACCAATTAGATTCGGTACAACTTAACATAATCTGTTTCTTTAACACAATACAATTATTTGAAAATAATTTAACGTGCTACAGTTCTTCTCCGACTGGGCTAATGAAGACGGGTATACAGTGTGCTTTGGGTGAAATTTTGCCGGACAACAGCGATACGACCTACTCTTATAACGAATTTCACCTGTAAAAGGGTCCTTTTCGTGCACGCCCATGTTTACAGCGGGCCACGGTTTATCGTGCCATCCAAACGACTAGATACGCTGTTCTATGCCAGTCCCCCTGCCCTGCAGACATGCAATTATTTATAACGATGTGTGATGAAAACAGCAGTTACTATTACAACGAGATAACCACCGAGCTGTGTATATACATATCCTGTATCCGGTACAGTTTTGCTTTTCATAGGGGTTTTTCAAATATATGTGAACATTTATATATACAAATGACAGCTTGCAATACATCAATAACGAAGTGTACATAAATAACACTTTCTATAAATATATGTCTATAACGTTCAACTGTCGAACTATTGATCCTCAACAACATTGGCCTAAAATATTGATATAGACTATAACCTTACCTGTGACTGGCTTTCAATCAAACAATCCCCTGCACGTACTTCCTCATTTACTGTTGACAAATTATACACCGTATCAACAAAACCTAGCGCCAAGATCTACACCCTAACTTAGTAACTGACGTAACACTACACTTAAAAATCAAAAGTTATTGGACTGAGTGAACATCCATAAAAATATTAGCTTGTAAAATCACGCTGAGGTCATATATGGCTCAATACTGTCGATGTCATATTACGATATTGTTTGCATGGTTTGATACAAATATAAACACTCCGTTCGAACAGACACTCTACATATGATACAACATAATCCTATAGCAGTCTGTTAAGCTCACTATAAAATTCAGGACTTTGATTTACCGTGCGTAGCGGTAACAATGCTCGCGCATTCAACTAGCCATTAACACCGCCCATCTCACGAGAAGTGAAAACATGTTTACGTCATATTAAAGAGCGCGTTTCTTAGATACTGAACGGGTTCCAGATAGAAGTTCGGGTCAACGAAGTCCAGCAGGTCAGTGAGTCGGTTCGATCGGTTTGAAATCAGTATACTAAACGTAATTAATCATGGAACCAAGACGAGGAATATCCCACGAAAATAAGCTCGGCACAAAGTGCGAAATATAACCCGTATAATATTTGCTCACAGCTAGGAAACGTGATATTGCGTTTTCTCACGCTGGGGAATTTACCGTACGTTTTGTAAACAAAATGTCAGAAAAACAACCAAACTTTCGTGAAAAAAGATCTTAATTATTTAGATAAAACATTAAATAGTTTAAAGAGATGGTCCTTCGAGACTAAAACAGTATTTATTCTACGATCTGAATAATAAGTATCTTAATATATAATTGGGAGTCGTGGTGCCTATAAGTGGGTAAGACGCTGGCTCGCTAGCCTGGAGGTCGGATGTTTGATCCCTGCATTGGCCGAGAAAGTTCATCCAGATTTTCCGGCGTGGTTTCCCCCTTTCAGGAGAGCCTGACAAGGACAGCTGTCTAGTCGTTCTGATTGGACGAAAAACCGAGGTCCCGTGTACACATTGGCGTGAACGTTAAACCCCATTTCATTTCATTTTCATTTCATCTTATATAATTCATATTGTGATCAATTACATAGCTAATGGTTGACTTGTTTAGTGTTGAGTGGGAATAAAATCAATTTCTCTACATGCATGAAATTGGATTTATCTATGGAATTCCAAGCCGAAGGACCTACCAGTTGTCAAAGACAAGCATGGGATAGAACCACACTTAATTGGTGACATACATTATGGTCTAAAACACAAGTATTAGTCCAATCAGTTCCCAAAACCTTACCCCATCACCAGCCCCACCCAATACACACACACACCATACATGATTAATTTCATTATAGTTTGGTTAAATACACGGGGCTAGGAATCTGTAAAGGAAGAATATTTTGTAAAAGTACAACAAACGTAAGTAAACTCCTCTAATGATAAATGGTATCTGATAGGGACACTTTAACTGTTTTCCATCAAATCGTCTTCATACCCGTGTTACGCTGTCATAGGATGCGGATGGAAATCCCTGGATATCAAAGGCAGTACAATTTTAAGGTTTATAATGACAGATGTAATATTGAATATTCGAGTCCATTTAACCAGCCTGGTGATTTCCATGGAATCCTCGTCAATGATGATATATTTAAACTTTACATATTTTATATTAAATCGCTATTTCTAAGGTAATATTAGGAAATATTACGCGCCTGTCAAACACCACAACCATTGAATGGTGCTTTCTTCTCCCCAAAATGATACTGATAAGGTTTACACATCAACTACAAAATTACATAGCGTTTGAGGAATGAAGCATGCTCACCTCCAGTGGGTAAGATACACAACCCAGTGTATTAAAAAGAAACTGGCACACCTCATTTATTTTACATTCATTTTATAGAGCTATAGTTTCAGCCTCCAGCAAAACACCTAGTTTGCCCCTCAAATAGCTATACTCACCTAAAATAACCAACAGTTTTTAATGTTTGCCTATGAAAGAAGAAAAGTTACCAAGAGAGAGAGAGAGAGAGAGAGAGAGAGAGAGAGGGGGGGGGTTTAACGTCCACTCGACACAAACTAGGTCATTTCGGGACTAACATATGGTTTAATTTTATTTCAATAATTCGCTTGCGCGTAGGGGTCTTTAGTAGTTACGTAGTTACCAAAGAACAGACAAACCGCTTGGGTTTGGTATTGTTCTGGACTAATATTCGGAGTAATGAACTACCGCAATCAAGTAGTCCATAACATTTCGAAAATAATCAACACCTATGTATTTTGATTATAGGTCTATATGGAAGTGGTTAGAATATTCAGCTCATAATTAACGGTTCCCATATGAATAATTCGTTTTACCATGTGTGTTTTTACCCTTTTTGAGCATTCAAATAATTACTGTCCAAAAATATATTAGCGTTAAAAATGAAATGAGGTAGAGTGTTACTTCTCGCCAACGCCTTACCGGGACTGTGATGTTAGGTATGCAGTGACAATGCACCAATCTTTCCACCTTCTGTGCCATGCTTTTATGTACACGGCAAAGTGCAAGGGTATAGGACCTTTGGGTTACCATTTACTTCTTTGACTTAAAATGCTGATCGTTGTACCCTGATTTCATAGTCACTAGATGTTCAGCTTCTGGACAGGTCATTTTAACAAGCCAATTTCCTGATGATTAGAGCACCAGTCTAACTTTTCAGCAACAGTATGAAAACATCGTTTGTAAAATGCACATTTATGTATAAAACAAACATTTCTGGGGTCGGTCATCTTTTTTGCTTCATCGGGTTAAAATGGTCAGACCATTGTCAAAAAATAAAATTGCTTTTATGTGTGGAGTGAAAAAACTTTTGATACTGACAAAAATAAGAATTTGAGCTTTTAGGATGCCTTCGTATATCTCGCGGCTGTCATTGAGTCCTCCGGTTTCCTCCCACTGCTAAAGACTCCGACGCATAGGCGAATTATTGAAATAAAATTGGACCATGTCTTAGTCCCGAAATGACCTAGTTTGTGTCCAGTGGACATTAAACCCCAGTTCTCTCCATATATATCATTTCAATCTCAGTAATCCGATGTTCTAACAAGTTGATTATATAGGCATGTCTTAAGTGTCTAATTAATATACTGATGTCCAAAAGAAAGTATACACACTAAAGGTATGACTAAGTTTTGTTTAGATTTAAAAACATTTGATAAAGCATTACTGAGTTTGTCTCTTGCGTCCAGACTCAACATTTCTAAGCAAAATAAAAATGTGAAACAAATTGACATTCTACCCAAATTCCGTATTCCATGGAAAACGGTTGATGCAGCACAAAATGCACAGTGTATACTTTCATTTGGACATTTGTATAGCTTATATTGCATTTAACGACCTGTAATAAGCAACTTTATATCTTACATGATGCATCTTTAAACTAAAATTAGTAATCAATTAGATTTTTAGTGTGGCCTCAATAAAAGAAGTTTATCTCACGTTATTCAAGAAACACCATTCTTCTCGTTCAAAGCAAAAGTTTCAATCGTTGAACTTGACCCTTAGTCAAAGCTGTAGTTAAATATCTAGACAGTTAACGCTAATATAACATGAAAAGGTCAAACAGTAAAATACCAATTATCATGGTATTCTGACACACCTCCTAAACTAATAAATCCAAATAAAACCTTTTCACAGTAATTCATTGTTATATGATAGCTAAAATGCTTATATAACAATACTCCTATGTCTAAACTCGATATAAAAGTAGAATGTAGCGCCGCCGTTCGGGCAAAATTCCCCTCATAGCCCATTGTATGGTGCAGAAAAGTTTCCAATAACTTTACGGGGGTGCTTCGGGCGGGGTAAGTATTTTTATATGCCTTCTGTAGAAAAATTGCGTCTCCGAAGCACAACGGATGGTATATAGTTTTATGTGAATACACCCCTCACAGATCGAAATTATTAGAACATTTACTCCGATGGTGGCTTCAGTCGACTGATGTTTTGTTTGCCGATGGATGCATTAATTCAATTAACAAATGAAATGAAAAGTGGTTTAACGTCTTACTGTCCTGTTCCGACTGGGCATACGTCAGTGTGCTGTGAGGGAAATTTTGCCTGGAAAGCTGCGCTACGTCCTATTCTTATACCGAATTCCAACTGACAGGGATCTTTTACTTGCCAGCCAAAGTGTACATTGGAACTCGGTTTTTCGTCCCACCCGAACGACTATACGTTGTCCCTTGCCTGGCCCTCAGCCATGCACCATTGACAAGGAGGAAACGCGAAGGAAAATACCAGTGAACTTTCTCAGGATCGAACACGGCACCTCCAGCGAGCTGACATTCTACTTACTGAGCTACCGTGACTCCTTTAATTAACAATGAAGCCACGTATTAGTACATTTGATTCAAACATAAAACTTTAGGAATTAAAGTCTATTATAACCTGAAATGTTTTCACAAGTTCCAGATCTGTCTGATTGGTTTATAATCTGGTATTTACAGATGCATTATATAAGATTCATACAAAGAACTGGTCGTTATTTCTATAATAGTTCAAAAATAGATAATGAGAAATGAATATATTGAAAATTCCACCAGACAAATTACTTCATTACGATCGAATTTGTGAATGGTTACTGGTATCGAGTTTCAGACAGGATGCAATTCAATTTGTATCCAGTTTGTATTACTTTAATTCAAATAAAACTTTTAATCTATAATAAAAAAAAAAGCTATGAGCCGTACTATTGTCGGGCCTTTTATCGCCCGTCTTTATTTTCCCGGTTGGAGCAGAAAAGTAGGACGTTAAACCTCATTTCATTCATTCATTCATTCATTTGTCGACAGTCTACGTGAGTGACGTCCTGCATTTTCGGAAATTTTCGTCTAAACCGTTTAAAGCAGATATGACGGACATTGTATTATCCACTCAATATCCAAGCTATCCGGTGGTCTAAAGAGTTGATTATGGGCTTGACAACTTTTGGTCTTAGAAGGAATTATTAGTGAACCGAAATACGCCTGTGTATCTGTTATCACTCGTCACTTCAGTCAGTTACATAGACGGATAACTCGTGTTTACCTTTTGCATTCGTCACTTCCGTTTCTTGAAATCTTCACAACGCACCTTTCGTAACAATGATCTCTGCGTTAAAATTATTTTTGGAACGGGTTTCACCAGTTCTATTATGACCGACACCAGTACTTGGGTGTACTGAGTTTTAAGGGAGATAACTCCAATTTTGTGTTCAGTAGATTTATAGTCGATTTTACAATATAAAAGTAACAAACATGAATAAATAGTTTATTCCAGTAAGTAGGTCTAGGGCCCATAATTACAAAATATAATTATGTACAACAGTGATTTAAGAAATACGAAAATAGTAGACATATAAATGTATATAAATAATAAAATGTGAAATTGAAATTAAAAGAGATTTATTTTTAGTTGTACATAACTCATGGGACATATATCTATTAATGTTCACATTATTAACAAATTTTGCAGGTTTATATTTCCATTTGATACAAACACATAAAAAATGAACATTATCTTCATTGCTTATCTTACATAATGGACAAAATGGTGTTTTTTCT